TCGTGCTCCTAACATTTCAGGTTTAAATAAGATAGATTTTTGTCCTATTAAAAAGCATCTCCGTCGTAGAATACAGAAAGAACTTATTCTCTAAAGTAAGTAAACCAACACAGCAGATAAGAAGAAGATGACGCATACTGACACAAACTTGTTCATTCCTGTTTTACCTCCCTTTTCTCCCTATTGAAAGCAAGAGTCTCCCGAAAATTCTCGTAAAAGTCTTCGTCATAAAATCATAAATAAGAAAAACGCTTTCACACTAAGACGTCAACACGTTGGAGACATCGAACCGCTGCAGCAAAAAAATGACCTGCAGGACAAAAGCTGTGTGCTATTCATGTTCGCTGATCGTACCTTCCCCCTCTCCCCCCCCGTAACGCATAAAATTCTCGGCCCCATTTTTCCTCGGTCTTTACCATCCGTCATTTTACAGTGGTATTCTTCTCTGCCGACACCCCCATCCTCTCCAATCGTCGCACGGGCAGCTATGGACCGAGCCAATCAGCGTGCGGGCAGCTATGGGCCGAGCCAATCAAAACGCGACATTTAATTACCTCGTTATCCCACCTTCACGTCACCGACCAATCAGAGCGCACCATTTTTCCTGACAGACCCGTCTAGGCCACGCCCACCTGGCGCCGGAGGTCGAGTGGAGGGGGTTTGTTTTGACGGCCCATAGCTGCCCACTACTACTTAAACATATTATATATAATACAATTATGTTTTATTTACATCGGTAATGCCCCCATGGCAGTGTGTCGGTGGAACCTGATACGATATACCGCTTATCATCGTGCGGACTTAGAGCGATTTTTGTTTCCGATATCGTGTACACTTCGTGCAGTTTGGATCTTATGCATGGCTGTCTGCGCGTCATTTCGATTGCATCGTTCAAACAGCATGGGTAATCCTCAAACGTTATGGATTTTGCCACAACGCTGCTCTTGACATCCTTTGCCTTTTTCGCGTCTTTCTTTCCTTCGACACGCGAGGCGTACATTTTCGCTCTAAGCCCTACGAATTCGGTCATAACGGCACCGTTGTTTTCATCTTTCATAAAGCCTGGAACTTTCTTATTTGCGAGAAAACCGTACGCGTTGTCAACCGTATAATCGTGTCAAATCTAGCAATATTGCGTTTTATAGTCTCGTACACATCATCACATTTTATATGGTATATGAGGCTATCTGTGTCGGTATACATAATTTTACATTTTTTACGAAACAGCGGTGCCATGTACTCGTGGTGAAATTCGTACAAACATATTTCCGATATATCGAGGATGCACATACCCACGTATATCGATTTATCCGACTTCACCTCGAGCTTACGCAGTTCTATCGCGACCAGATTCTCTGAGAAGACGCTACGACTGTAAAAATTTGGTTTGGCGATCATTGCCTCAGCACCGTATCTACCTTCCCATTTTGTCAATAATTTTACGTCGACGCGATGGCGCACATTCTCCATGGTTTTACCAAATACCGCGTTATTCATAAGTTTGTATAAATTTTTTTCAAAATCATTTTTGGCCATTGTTCGAAATTTTGTGTTGAGTTCGATGTAATCGCGTAGCCATGGAGATTACGCGAATTGCAATATACGGTGAATCTTTGCGATACGGAAGCCGTGACGAGTACACTGCTACAGGTTGCGATAATGTATGACGTAACGCTGTTTATCGCATAATGTTGCAAGGAACTTGTCATCGCGCTTGCCGGGTGGTTTCTCGCGCGTCGGACAGAACGGTAGGTCAGTGTGCGCGTCATGAAGATGTTGCGGGTACTCCAAATCCACTTCGAGAATATAGCCTGTCGGTGAATCTAACGCGATGGTCGTAAAATCAAAATTGTGCACGTCGTCAACCTATCGAAAATCGGCGTAAGGCAATAGTTGACAAATTGCCCACCCGTAGAGGTTGTTGACATCATAGTACATTAAGTATGATGATGGTTTCGATGGATCCTACGACGGCATGTATTTGTTGTTGGCTCACGCGTACCTGTTTGAGCACTGGCTCAAACCATCGCGTATACCGCGTTCGACAAACATGACCATGTCGATGTCTGTCAGCAGTTCAAATTTTACACCAGTATGTTTTAACATGGCATCCCATGTGAAGCCAGGTAAGGTGTAATAATACGCGGGGTCTAGCCCGTAACTCGCGATGCAACTGTCGCGGAAATTTTCAAAGACGTCGGCCAACAACAATACATCTGTTTTTAGATACAGGTCGCTATATTCGCCGAGCGTTTGGATGGAGAACCGCTGCCACACGTTGACGGCATGCGCGTAATCACTTTCAGATACCGTGCTGTCCGTCAATGAGCTGTAGAATGACTCACGAGATGGCAAGCGTAAATCGTTCAAGTTTTCACTGCAGTCAATGTACTCGTATGGAAAGACACCCTTTCGAGTCAAAAGATTAAAATTTTCTTCAGATAAATTGGAAAATTCGCGTCACAGTACCCGCAGTTTATCCATGCTAAGAAAAGATGATATTTTGTCCAAACTAGAAACGAGAAATCTATATGAATCTATGAAACGTAATTGCACACAATTTTTTTGATCAATTTTTGTACTATCAACATGTTTAGTAAAAGATATATATTTTTCTTTAGTTATTGGAAGGAGATCTACGCGTCCTTCATACGCGGTTGCAATTTCCTTGATAATAAAATGAGCGTCGTAACCGGATAAGTTATGAAAGACTACAGGTATGCAACGCGAATCCTTATAATTTAGATTGCAATTTGAGTGCGCGGGGCCTCTGTATCGCCCGGTGAAATGGCAGTGTTCGCGTACCCGCGTATCGTCAGGTGTAAACGGTTTCTCGCACACGTGACAGTATGAGGCGCTGTTAAATTTTTCCCAGTCGTCACGCGTGAAATCTGCCATGGGAACATTGGCTGAAATTGTTGATTGTACAGTATGTGCTAACTGTCTAATTTCTTCCGCGAACCACGCTATACAGTTTTTGTCGTGAAACCGATAATCTGACAGTGAGCTGTCGTAGGAGCAATGCACGTAATACCCGATACTGAAGACGTTGTGATGTTGGTACGTGTATGTAGCTGATGTTGGATTGTCCTTATCTGTTTTCTTCAACGCTCAAGATCTGCGTAGACTACGAACGGGACGCGCTCTTTCCTGCAGTGGTTGTGGAAGCTCAACCACTTGTCGTCCTCGCTCGGCAGCCTTATCGCACAATCATTTAGTTTCCCACAGTCCTCAGTATGTATCTCCAGTTTTGCGCTCGAGTCAAAGTAGTGGAGGCATCTGGAAACAATTATTATTATTATTAGTATTATTATTATCATCATTATCATTATCATTATTTTTATTATTATTATTACTTACCTATCGCAGAAATATTTCCTGTGTCCATATCTATTGATTTGTGAGCTGACTAATCGAGATAAATCTTTGATGAGCGCAAAGTGTCCCGCGCTATCGTCCTCCACGTACAAGAGGTTTACGTGCTTGCTCCTCTTTCGGTCGGTGAGTCGTATCGGCACAATCCCCTTCTCGATGGCGTAGACGTTGATGGAAATGTCGTTTAGAGCTTCAAATTTCTTAATTTGGCTCAATGTCATCGGAAACTGAATATCTTGGAGATTCAGTACCGATGAGTAGTGCGGATACGAGGATGTTCTATGCGCATTTCCTTGATGCAGAGCGGCAATCACCGACCACGCGAAACATGCATTATCTGTGGATTGCACGTTGATAACCGCTCTCTTTAGCATAATTTCTCGCGGGAGTTTGATGTGACATCCAGCGCGCAGAGGATTTAGTTTATTCGCGTTCACCGCCAAATTTATGGTAGTATACGAGACAATGCCCATCCGCTGTCGCGTTCCTGGAACTCTTCCAACGATGCTATGATAGGCTCGACGACGCGCGTCACGTACCACTCACGCAAATCGGTACATCGGTATAGTTCATAGTTCCGGGTGGCGATACTCTTGTTCGCGCGTTTGTCACCAGCCACAAATTCACCGTTAAATACTATATTTATTTTTATAGTCATATCTCTGCATGATACACTGTACACGCTCGAGCACAGTTTCACTCGCGTCTTCGAGGAATCGCCGAAGTTCGATGTAATTGGAGTTTATTACCGCACCCGTTAGAATACGGCTTTCGAACGCCGTTTCGATCGTGCGCCATCGAAGTCCATGTCCTGCACCTACGTGCACGAATCGTCCGCGCACCGAACCCTTCAAGCTTTCAAGCCGCGCGATACATGCGATCACTGATTGTCTATTACCAATCGATAATCGCGGGCGTTTGATACGACTCTGTTCCTTCAGAGATTCTATAAATTCGTCGCAACGTTGTTCCCACGCGACGTACTCTTCTCTTGTATTAAGTTGGGTAGCTTGCTCACTCAAATCTCCCTCCATGTTGTCACTTATGCTGTTAGATTGACTAATAGCGCGGTGCACCTAAATCTTGTTATTTTTATATCATTTACTTGGTCACGTGACATTACATTGATGATCACCGCTCGAACATGTTGTGACATGTCGTACCATATCCTTGAAAAATTTCTTAAATAACGCTAACAAAGCAGATATACTTTAATGAAATTGCAATTGCTGCATTTTTGCAGGTATTGTATCATATTACATTGATGATGATGTCATCGCTAAAATATGTTAATGTCCTTTAATAAATTTCTTATATTACGCTGACAAGGTCATATTGAAACTTGCAATTTTGCTGACGCTGCAATTTGCGGTGTATGATTACATTAATGTCATCACCGGATGTGTCAAAACCTTTTATTGCAAGGGGTGCACATTTGCATATGTTAAATTGATGATGTCATCGCCAAAATATGTTAATGTTCTTGAAAAAATTTCTAATATTACGTTGACAAAGCAGTTATATATATTTGCAAAAGTTGCATTTTTTTTTACTGTATTAGATTACATTGATGTCATCACCGGATGCGTCTTTTATTGTAAAGGGTGCACTTTTGTACGTGTTAAAATGATGATGTCATCGCGAAACATGTTGCGACATGTTTTCGCAAACATTGCATTTTTTACTATTGTTGAGTGGGAACGAAAATATAAATACTGACGGGGATCGCGCAAAGTCAGTCTGTGTAAAATGGCTAACCGTAAATGTCTATCGATCGAGCAATTGGTTCACAACCAGGAACTTGGATTCCGAAATGTGTCAACACGTAATACTACTCGTTGTCCGGTTTGTTCGAAGAAACAAATGAGTGATATTGAATATGTGGAGGATTGTGAAGTATTGTCAACGATTTTAACATGTCAGTGCTGTATACTGGATTTCCTTATTTACAAAGAAGATGCTGGAAAGGGTAAATAAAGGTTTTCGGATGTATACAGTAGCGTTACATAGAGGGGATAAGGTTTGAAAGCTGCTCGGAAGGTTCATACGTTCTGTAAGTATTTCATTTATATCTGCTTGCGAAAAAGTTTTCTCTACAGATGACTTATTCGTTTATTTTTTTCATTACAGCGCGTCGTCACATATAAGTTTGGGAGGCCGATAACATTATAGTTATATTCGGAGAAGTTAATTAAATCATAAAAATACATATACATATATACATATACATATAAATAAATATATACTGATTACTTCGTTGTCAGAATTATTTGTTTCCTTTCTTCCTTCCTTATTCGCACGGCATCAAGTTACATCGCGCTCTTGTTAAAATAGAATAAGAAACTATGTTCTGTTAGAGTAGACTTTTATAAAAAATATTTCAAATTATTGCTATAAACCGTACATGTCATATAAATATATACAGGGTCCGCCAAAAGTACCGGGACGGTCTAATAACTTTTGAAAGAATTAAATTTTCAAAAATCGCCGAAACACGTGATTCGATTTTTCAAACAAGCTATCTTTTGAGGGGGGATCCCGGCCCCCCCCCCAACCTCAAGGAGGGTGGGGGGCACGAGGGGGGCCAAAAATCTTAAATGGCAACATGGGTCGAGTGGGGGCTCGTTTGAAAGGTATTTTCGAGACGAATTCAGACCACTGGTCGTAGATGACGCTGCGAGCGTTTTTCGCGTGGATATTTCATTTTTAAGCGTTTAGTCGTAGTAACGTTAAAAATGATGTAAATCGCCGAAACACGTGATTCGAT